GGGGCCAAATGATGGGCATATCGTTGGTGGTGCCGATGTCAGGCGCGGCCACATTAGAGCCCGCAGACCAGCCCACGTACGGCACGCCGTCGACCAGCACTCGCTTCCGAATGGCGTCCAAGAGATTGAATTCTTGCAATTTGTAGAGCAAGTGAAACGAATTGCCGCCGCCGATGACTATGGCTTCGCAGGTCTCGACACTCTTGAGATAATCGGGTGTCTTATGGATGGCAGTGACGGTGTATTGCTTGAGAGCTGAACTCACTTTCGTCTCGTATTGATCCCAATCGAAAGACACGGCGGCGAACGGTATGAACAGTAATGAAGTGATGTCTTTGGGCAGGAAGTCGGCGATCACTTGACTCGACCATTGCATGTAATCGGTTCCACACATTGTCGAGTTGGACAGCAACAGGAGGCGTCTCTTCACCGACATCTTCACTGATCCACGCAATCACTTGAGTCTAACCAAAGGTCTGAGAGAATGAGTGAATGAGTGAATGGGTTGTGATGTTGTGCTGTATTTGTAGTCACTTTCGACTCTACACTACAATACACTTAATTGTGAGACAAGTATTGGTTAAGTGTTTGCATTGAAGCCATAAATCATACAAATATTGTCAATGCATTCGATTGTGGTTTCAATTTCTGAATCAATTATCAATGCGTTTGTGATATAAGACTAAAAATTACGTCTGAATACAGATCTTGTGCTGAAGAATATGTTTAAGAATCGACTTTTTTTTATATCAATTCTTAATTGTATTGAATTAATTAAATTAATGTTTAATTTTAAATTTAATTTATCATTTTAGTAAACCTTTGATTGCATTGTATTTTAAAATTAAACTAACTTTTACATTAAATAGTTCTGAAATGTTTCTAAAACTTTATTTTTGATTCAAAAATGAATATAAAATATTTTCATTAACAACTCGATAAAAAATGTATTATTAGATTACGATTATTACAAATTGATTATTGAGTCTATGAATGACTGGATTGTATGTCCTCTTATGATAATCATGTTATACTGTACTCAAATTGTTAGAACCCGATAAATAAATATAGTTTTACAAACTTAAACAACTAAATCAATGTCAATTAAAGAAATTACTAATTTTTAAAATATTGCCCATTATTTTGAAATTACACAAGATTAGTACAATTAATTGTAATACATTTTATAAATATTAAATTTATAATTTTATTGATCAACTTTTACCGCTATATTCGCTGAATCTATAAGTTAGTAACACATGGGTTAACAAACTTGACAGTAATGCCAATTATCTATTAATTTGTCTTCAATTATCTTTATTGTAGAAATATATAAACTTTGGATTATACTATACTGTAATGATTATAGCTTTTATATAGCTGTATAACACAAAACTCGCAATTTGTCATAAGCTTGTGGTAAAAAGTGCGGACTTAATGTAATTAATGATATGATATAAACAATGATAAGAGAAAAGATTATGTTTTTCAAATCAACAAAAAGTGAAGTTTCTTCTCATTTAAGTTTTAGAAACGATTCAATTAGTCGTAAATTTGAAAAATATAGTTAAATTAAATTCAAAGCAAACATGATTTTGCCTGTAATTCATATAATTTCTCTATTTTTATACGCAAACAATCCATACATCGGAACTGAAGTAACATTTATTTATAACTTTTATGAATAATTTGATTGATTTAATAATTAAATTCACAGAAATGTACGACCAATTGATTGTCAACCTTTGGGGTGAATCCATCCGCACCTCAAATGTAAGTCATAAATGTTGTAAAAATTTATGTAAATTCAATATTGTTTTGTTGAATATTAAAATGTAATTCAAATCTGATTGTCTCAGCAATAGTGTTGAGTGGCGTCAAAATGCATACAATTCAACACATACTCCGCCGAAAACTATTGCCAATCAATTATTGTACAAAATTCTCAATGAAAGCAAACGTAACAATACTCTAAAACTTTGACAGTTTTGTTGAAATTTCAAAATGAATTTCAATTTCATGGGAATATAAAATCGTGGATTTATTTCTCATATAAATGATAATTAAGATTTAAATTTTAATAAAAAAGATCTTATATTTGATGTAATTATGAGATAAATAAAGATTCATGAATTGCTTTATATACACAACACATGTCTTAATTTATAAATAATAATAAGATATAATTATGGGTTTGTTTTAATAATAATGATTATTTAGAGACAAAAGAATCTAGTTTTTTAAAATAACATATTTGCCAAGTATTTTAAATTTAATTGATAATTAGACGCAAATATTCACAGATATGTGATTTTGTGAAGAAAATATTACGTTATATTATTGTATTTTATGAAAATAAAAGTTTAGTTAAAAAATTGAGAGCATTTATTATTGGCTTATTGTATGAGTTTTTAAAATATTAAATATTATAATGAATTATAAATATTTATTAATAATAACAACAATTTGTGTTATTGAAGACATTTTCAAACTAAATTGAAAACCAGTTTTACAATAAGTATTTGGAAAATAAAGAGAACATTAAATGCAATCATAAGAAAGTATTTTTATAAAAATTAATGATTTCATTAGAGATATTCGTTAATTTCAGTTAACTTTAGAGTATATTTAAATTACTCTATAAAACTAGTTATAGAAACTGAAAACCAAACAAAATTCATAACTAATTAGCGTTTATTAAATTATTCACTATAATTGTGTTAATGAATAATTGAATTAATTGATAGACTATCGATAATAGTCTGCAGATTGTTTCGCAACACGATTTATATGTATTTTGCCATTAAAACCGATTATAAAGTGTAATAGGAATAAACAAAATCATGTATTTAGCAAAAAATCAATAATTAAGAAATAAATGAAGAGTTGAGTGAAAACATGTAAAGGATTGGAGAAGTGGAGGAATGGGAGAGAAATATGTCGGGAAAGAAGTAATCGAAACTTGGAATCGATTTGTTTCTCATTTGTTTCTATTAATAGTTAGACTTCTAAATAAGTTGAAAGAGTGAGGACTTTGTGGTCATTAGCCCTGATGTTAGTGCAGAACAGATACAAATGACCTAATATTGAGTTCTGTGACCAACATTCACATCAAAGGCATTGACCCTAATATTTGAAGACTCAATGCATNAACAATAGCAGCACTAATAGCCTATTGATGGGCAACACTTCGCCGCCAAACCTATACGAAGGCGCGCCCATAGATCCGGATGAGCCCACGTATTGCCTCTGCGATCAGGTCTCGTTCGGCGAAATGATTTGTTGCGATAACACCGACTGCAAGATCGAGTGGTTCCACTTCTCGTGCGTTTCCCTCAACTCCAAACCCAAAGGCAAATGGTTTTGTCCCAACTGTAGAGGCGATCGATCCAACATTCAGAAGAAGTAGTCGGCCATCGCTTCGCATCCATTCATTTCCACATTTCATTTGCTTTCAATTCATTATATATTTAACAAAAAGCACAGCATTTAAGGCATTTGATTGATTGACATGTTTTCTGTTTGTTATACTCAACGATTGGATGTATTGTCGCCACGAAATTGAATCAAAAACAATTGAATGCAATTATATGGACATCTGTTTTGCGAAACAGTTCTTAATTAATCCAATAAGCAGTGCTTTTAATTGTTTTTATTAATTGATTTGATTTTTTTGAATGTAATTTTTGGTGTAATTTTACGTTTATCTCAGTTTTCAGACTTTATTTACAAATTTAACACAAATTATTCGTTTAAGAAAAATGTTTTTCATTTTATTTATCAATTCTGTTATTAATATTTCATA